CAGGGCACATGCCCGGGTTGCGGGCTCGATCCCCAGTAGGGGACGTGCAGGAGGCAGCCGATCAATGACTCTCTTATCATTGATGTTTCTCTCCCTCCCTCTCCCTTCCTCTCTGAAATCAATAAAAATATATTTATTAATAATAAAAGAAGAGTCCATGAGGGTACTTGCCCTGTTGGACAGGGGAGCCAAGTACTAGATCATTGGTCAGAACTGGGACCTTCCTCCCTCCCCTGGGTACATAGCTAAGCCTGTACCTACAGGACCCCCAAATCCACACAGTGAGGATGTGGCTGCTCTCAAACACCTCAGTCATTTGGGGGGCCACCCTCAACCATGAGTCAACAGGCTTTCGGGGCCCCACCCCACTCCTGCTGGGTGGCCCCAGCTCTGGACTCACAGGGCGTGGGGCTCTCCTCGTCGGAGGTGACGTCGGGGTCAATGAGCTTCTCCTTCACCTTCTCCGTCCGCTCCTTGAAGAGCCTCACCAGCTCCTGCAGCCGCTCGTTGATGACGGCGCTGTTCTGGCTGGCGGAGGAGGACGCCCGGTCCTGGTCGCTATGGAGACACCACGTGGGAAGGGACCCCTGTGCCCCGGGCAAGAGCTGACCCCACCCGGCCTGCGGAGGTGAACCCCTTGGACGTCAGAGCCCACTTTGTCACCTCCTGGCAGGAAGTCCCGCCTGGAAATGCGCTGTGCAGCCTGGCCAACGTGGCTCAGGGGTTGAGCATCAACCTGGGGACCAGGAGGTCATGGTTCACCTCCCGGTCAGGGCACATGCCCGGGTTGCGGGCTCCATCCCCAGTGTGGGGTGCGCAGGAGGCAGCCGACCAATGATTCTCTCTCGTCATTGATGTTTCTATCTCTCTCTCCCTCTTGCTTTCTCTCTAAAATCAATAAAAATATATTTTAAAAAAAGAAAATGTACCGTGCAGGCTCTAAGTCAGATGGGCAGTTCTGAAAAATCTTTGACTCCACTGTTACTTAGGGGTGAACACAGCTCAGGGCCATCAGTCCTAGTGTGGGGTTCACCTGAGATACAAGTCTGAGACAGATGGGGAAGGGGCAGGGCTAGTTATTTAGGCTTCAGAAATAGCTGGAGGTGGGGAAAACAGTACAGATATATTATACATCTTTTTAACTTTCAGGAATTTAAACTATGAGCTCACAGCAAGAGAAAGAGACTGAATGAATGAATGAACGAACAAATGAACAAATGAATGAAAAAATCAATAAACACGACACGTTACTCAGCGTGTAGCGAGGGCCCTGGGTGCCTGGACGCAGACATGTAAGTCAGCTCTCCTCTGAGTGGCCTCCCCGTCCCCGCACTGAGCTGAGTGTAACACTGGTGTTTTCAGATCTGGAGACCCAGCCTCGTCTCACTTCTTGGAAGTCACTGGCAGAGGCTGCCTGTGGTGTCCGGCTGGCGTGGCTCCGTGGTTGAGCGTCAACCCATAAACCAAGAGGTCACGTTGCAATTCCCAGCCAGGGCACTTGCCCAGGTTGTGGACTTGACCCCCAGTGTGGGGCGTACAGAGGTAGCCAATCAACGATGTTTCTCTCTCATGGGTGTCTCTCTCCCTTTCCTTTCCTCTCTCTCTCTCTAAAAATCAATAAACACACATTTTAAAGCATCCAGGGTCCCCCCCCCCGCCCACTCACCTCCTCTTGCCCACCCATCCCCCAGCTTTCTGACTCTCTGAGACCCCAGGCGAGGCCCCCACTCACTCTGTGCCCTGCGGGGTGGGGGAGTCAGACCAGGCGACCACAGGGGTCTCAGCCGGTGACAGCTCCTTGATCTCTTCCGCTTCCTCATCCTGGGAGGGCAGCCTCTTCCTGCGAGGGCACAGTATGGAAGGGGCCTTCAGCGAGGGCAGGCCCCGGGAGAAGGGAGCCGACTCGGACCCTTGCAGATCACCCAGAGCCAAATCCTGGGTGGGGATGGGGCAGGAGACGCTGCTGCCCAAGGGTCCTTAGGTCCCTGCAGGGACACCGAAAGGGAGAGGAGGGGTTCGCAGCTGCTCTCTGACCTCAGTCTCCACATCCGTTCAATGGCTGAGCATAAAAACAACGGCATTGACTTGGTCTCGGGCAGACCTGAGTTCGAATCCAGCCCTGCCTCTTCCCAGTGTGTGGCCTTGGCAAGGGACTTAAACTCTCGGAGCCACCTCGGATTCCCCTTCTGTAAAACGGAACTAAACCCACCTAGCACAACGAGAACCTGATCTCTCCGCCAGGCCTCGGCCTAAACATCCTCCTCCCTTCCCATCCCAGTCTAAAGTCACTGCCCTCATCCGGCCAGCGTGGCTCCGTCGTTGAGCATCGACCCATGAACCAGGAGGTCATAGTTCAATTCCTGGTCAGGGCACATGCCCAGGTTGTGGGCTCCATCCCCAGTAGGGGGCGTGCAGGAGGCAGTCCATCAATGATTCTCTCTCAATCACTGATGTTTCTCTTTCTCTCTCCCTCTCCCTTCCTCTCTCTGAAATCAATAAAAACATACATTTTTTTAAATTATTTTTAAAAAGGGAAGTTAGACTTCAGGCTTGTCACATTCTACCCCCTTCTAACATGCAGTTGAGGGTAGTAGGGACAGGGCTTCCCTGGAGGGTCCTTTATAGAGAATTAGGAGAACTAGCAAGGGAGGGCACAGTCCCGGTTCTAACCCCAACTTGCTGAGTGACCTCGGGCCAGCTGCTTCCCCGCTCTGGCCTCAGTCTCCTTATCTGCCAAATGGGCAGGGGGCACGGTGCTGCGGAAAGCCCACGAGAAGCATAAAAGGTGACCTGCGGGTCCCCGCGGCCGATCCCGGGACTGTGAGGGTGTCGGACTTGGCAGGAGACGCTGGCAGCCGCTCGGGTGAGGGTGGCTTGTCCTCCGCGATGAGGGGGTGGCTGTCAGCATCAGTGTCTTCCACCTGCACTTCCGGGTGCTTTTCTGTGGCAGGCACTTGGGGAGAGGAGGGAGGGGGAGAGAGAGAGAGGAGCCACAGACGCAGGCTTGGAGCAGCCGCTGGCAGCCACCTCCCAAAGGGGCCCACACAGACCTCCATGCAGGATGCGCAAGGCACAGAGCCCAGAGGCCTCCGAGAGCCACGCAACCCCAGCCACCAGCCAGGACCCACAGAGGCAGCCGTGACGCCACAGAAGCCACCGGAGCCCCAGGATACGGCCTGGAGTCCAGGTCTCCAAAGCCCCACCGGGATTCCCTGGGCCTGGGAAGCATCAAGGACCCAGGGTTGCAGGGGGTGGGGGTACAGCCTCAGAGCAGGCATGGGGAGCCTGGCCGGTGGGGGGGCAGGGAGCAGTCCCAGCACCTGGCCCAGCACAGCCTGGCTCAACTGTTTCCCTTCTCTGGGCCTCAGTTTCCCCATCCCAGGGAAAGGGATGATGCCTTCCCAGGCCCGGGGGTGGAAGGAGAAGGCACAGGCCTCAGGGAGCTATGTGGAGTGTCCTCCAGTCAAGGGTAACAGCCTGTCTTTGTAGTGAGCATTACTGCTGTTGGGGGACCCATTTGGGTATTTCTTTGTTTCTAAATATATTTTTATTGATTTCAGAGAGGAAGGAGAGGGAGAGAGAGACAGAAACATCAATGATGAGAGAGAATCATGGATCGGCTGCCTCCTGCATGACCCACACTGGGGATGGAGCCCACAACCCGGGCATGTGCCTCGGCCAGGAATCTTGAGTTAAGGCAGAAAACGGCAGGGGTCAGCCCGGAGGGGTCGGTGTGTCCCTGAGCACTTGATCATTAGACAGCAAGTCGCAGGCCTGCCGGCCACGGAGGGCACCTTGTCACAGTGGAACAGAGCCGGGCGGCCGCCCTCCGCACTGGCCCCCGGGGAGGCCACTCCTCCTGCACTGCCTGCTCTGCCTGCCGGCACCTGGGGCCTCTGCTTCCCTGACATGGAATTTGCCGGGCAGATACCAACGGTCCTCGGAAATTCCAGCTCCCGGCAAACTCTCAAGGTCAGGATACTCTGTCTGCCACAGACTCCACATTCCTCTCCTGTTCCCTTCCCCTCCACTCACCTCTCCCCCCACTCAGCTCCCTGCCCCCAGTCTCTGGGCCTGGGGATCTGAGTGGCTTGTTTACACTAGCATGTGAGTGACTATTTGTACAAATGATGAAGATCTGGCGAAAGCAATGTTTAACCCAGTGATGGCAAACCTATGACACGCGTGTCACCTCTGAACTCATTTTTTTGGTTGATTTTTCTTTGTTAAATGGCATTTAAATATATAAAATAAATATCAAAAATATAAGTCTTTGTTTTACGATGGTTGCAAATATCAAAAAATTTCTATATGTGACACGGCACCAGAGTTAAGTTAGGGTTTTTCAAAATGCTGACACACCGAGCTCAAAACATTCGCCATCACCGGTTTAACCCAAAGACATGAATTGCTAATTGTGGGACTTTAGGCACAGGGAGAAGGAGACTAAGGCCCCTCCAGTCACCACAAAGCATGAGGAAGGCATTGATCAGCAGCGGAAGGGTGGTTTCCCACGAGCCCAACTAGTGGTCCACGTGCTGACCACGGCACCCACACTGGGAAACAGCCCAGGCCATGCAGGAGCACACATCACAGGCGCGAGCATGCTGGGTGGGCAGGCTCACGCTACCTAGGCGACGGACAGAGCTCCTGGTCTCCTTGGCGAAGCTGGAGTTGGACAAGGTCGTCCTCCGGGAGACGAGGACGGGGATGCGGGTGAGTGGGGGGCAGTAGCTGGGCACATTGGGGAGGTGCTCCACCGGGTCTAGGGGAGCCAGCCTGGGGGCCACCTGGCTAGGCGGCTGGTCCCGGACCCGGCCATTCAGCTCCATGTCCCGGCCTGGGGTAGCCATGGTGCTGGGGCCAGGGGGCTCTCAGGCAGAGGCGGGACCCTGGAGACTGCAATGAGGAGCACAGAGTTGGGGGAGGCAGGGGAGCGGGGTCTCCCCACCGGCGCCAACACAGACCAGCCCGGCGCCCGGCTGCACCTGCAGCAGCTGCTCCCAAAATCGGGAACATCACTCTTGTCCCTGGGACTCGATGTCAAATGCATCACCACGTGTTGTGGCTGGTCCTCCCCACCGCTCCGAGGGACAGCCTGCAGCCCTGGCCTAACTCCTAGCACTCTGTTAACCAACCCCCGGTAGCCTTTCCCACCTCAGGCTCAAAAAAGTCAGGATCAGCCGTGCGGGCACGGCTCAGTGGTTGAGCGTCGACCTATGAACCAGGAGGTCGCGGTTTGATTCCCGGCCAGGGCACATGCCCGGGTTGCAGGCTCAATCCCCAGTGTGGGGCGTGCAGGAGGCAGCCGATCAACGATTCTCTCTCATCATTGATGTTACTATCTCTCCCTCTCCCATCCTCTCTGAAATCCATAAAAATATTTTTTTTAATAAAAGCTCAGAAGAGGCGTGGAGTCTAGGACGTGCCCTTAGCAAGCTCTGGTCCTAATTAACACTGTAATATGTTACACGTTTGAGCCAAGCCCCTGCTGGGTGGCAGCCCAGAGAGCTGGGCGGTGGGAGGGGGGCGGTTGGTTGGGAGCAGGCTTCTCCAGGCTGCTGGAGTCCTGGGCCTCAGTGCAATCCCCCAAGCCCTTGAACTCCATCACCCGCTTTGATGATGTGGTCCCAGGCGCAGAGGGTGGTTTGCCTGAGGATGGGGCAGGTGGAGGGGGACAGGGATGGTGGAGACGGAGGGAGAGGAGGTGGGGTGGCCCTGCACACTCTCTGCCACCTTCCACCCACCACCACCTACCTCCAGAGCTGGCGGCTGCGGCTTCTTCCTGCAAAATACACAGTGGAAACAGAAGCTGAGACCAGCACACCCCTCCCCCGCCCCCAACCCCACCCCAGCCCTGTCCAGCCCATCTCCTGGGGCGTCCGGGGAGGCGGCCTCCACCTCTAGGTGCAGTGTGTACAGGAGCCCCAGGCCCCACCCCGACCTGTCACATGTAACAAGCCCTGTGTGTGTGGGGACACAGGCACTAGAGCAGCCACCACAGTCCTCCCCATGGACAGTGCACAACTGTGCACAGCCTGCAGGGGGAGGGGATTAGCCCCATTTCACAGAGGTGGCCACTGAGGCCCAGCGTGGGGTGGTGACTGGTCCAGGGTCACACAGCCACGTGAGGACTGAAGTGCGGGTCCAGCAGCTCCCCACCCACTCCACCGAAGGCCTCTCCTAACACCATCTGACCCCTGGTACCAGCAGGCTTTGCGGTCCCACCACCCTGCTCCCTCTGTCTGGCAGGCATATCACACGTTGAAAACCCCCATAAACGAAGGAGTCAAGGTCTCCGCCCTTCCACCGAGGCCAGCCCGCACCCCAGGGCAGCCGGGACCAGGCCCGGTGCTGCTCCATACCTGGCAGGAGGCCCTCTGGGTGACCGTCCTGTCTACTCCGCCCAGGTCCGCGCCGGCCTCTGCCACCAGACAGCTATCCAGCAGGACACTGTGACCCGGAGGGAAAAGGGCTGGGGTCAGGCTGAGTGCCCGCTCTGTGGTGGGAGCTGGGGCACCAAGTTGCCCTCGAATAGGTCCTCCCCTAGTGAGACTCCCACACGGGGAGGCGGCAGACGCACATCCTGCTAACAATCCCCGAGTCTGAGACATGTGCTGGGATAAGGGGTCGCGAAGGCCATAGCCACAGTTCGGCCCAGGAAGGAGGGCTTCCCAGAGGAGGTGGCCTGTGAGCTCAACCTCAAGGATGATGAATGAACCACGAGGAATAGGTGGGGAAGGGTGTCCAGGACGGGGGAACAGCATGTGCAAAGGGAAGTGTGCAGGACGGCTTAGGAACTGTCCTCTGGGTGTGACCCAAGAGCACCGTCCAGTGTTCACAACAGATGCCCAGCATGGCCCTCTGAAGTCTCCCGGCTCCCTTGGTGCTGCAGGCAGGGCAGGGAGCCTGAGAAAAGGGAGGCCCAGAGAGGTGAACCGGCCTGGCCAAAATCACACAGCAAATTGTCACACACCACACAAACCCTCAAACACAGGCCCTGCGTTTGTTCCCACGTGTGAGCTCAGAGCTCCACTGCAGTATGAAATCCCCTAGAAGTATTGTGGAAACTGTGCCCTCCTTGGGCCTCCAAGGACACAGGCCCAGGAAATGCGCTTCCCACGGCCCAGTCAGGGGCTGCCCAGGGTCCTGGCCTTTCCAGAATCAGGCCGGGAAGTCAACGCGTGGCTGTGGGTAAGTCACCGGGACGCCCTTGGCTGCCTCTGTTTGCTCGTCTGTCAAATGGGTAGGACCTGCTCAACCTGCACAGCCTGACTTACTTGGGTGAGCTCACAGGGCCCCTGAGAATCTCATGGAAAAGTCAAAAAAGACTCCCCATTCAGGGGTCATTCTTGATTCTCTAACGACCGGTCAGCAGCTTGGTCTGGGGTCCCAAGTGTGAGCGCAGAGCCAGCTTGACCTGGGACGGGCCAGCTCTGCACCTGCTGGCAGACAGCCCTGTCTCGGAGCCTCGGGTCTCTCACCTGGGAGCTGGGATTAATGACAGACGCTGTAGTGTGGCGTCCGGCACGGAACACAAGAGCTAGTCCAATGGCAGGTGCTCTTAGGCACGTCCTTGTCATCATTACCATTAGTCCCAGAGGAGCACCTTCTGCAGGGTTAGGAGTCACCCCCGTGGATTGGGGAACGTTTTGCACAAACATCTCCAGCTATAGAGACACCTCACCAGCCCTACCCTGGTCCTGCCAGCACCCCCAGGGCTGTTGGGGGACCTCTGTACCCACAGTCATGGTTGCCTCTGGCCTGCAGTGTGTTCAGTGCCGGCCACGACCCCTTTCTGTCGGGCCCAGAAGCAGCAGGCTATCAACTTCTGGAAGGTTCCCAAACCCCAGGGAATTCTACATGGAGGGCCAAAGAGACTGGCTAAGGTGGGCATACCAGAGG